TTTTTTTTTCTTTTTTCTCTTCTGGTACGTGTCTTTGCTTTTTTCATATATTATTTTTGGTTCTTGTATCTATATACCTATTATACTTTCGTTACTTTCTATTATTCATTAATCTTTCAGAGTTACTCTTTTTTATTGAAGAATTTAATTCAATTCGTTATCAGTAGGTCGACTGGCCCTATCTATTTTTTTGCTCTACTTTTTTACTTTTAGTTATTTCTTTAGCATGTCAACGGAAGTAGTTTAGTATACTCCATAATAACTTAATTGATGTATTGAGGTGATCAACCCGTTCATGTCCGACAGGGAGCGTGGGCAGTATCACTCAAGGACCCAAGGAACCAACGGACAACCCCCGCGTGCCGTTTGCTCTGTAGCTGATAAGGTAGATGCGCCCTTTAACTGAGAATGTACTAGATCAGTGGGTCTGGCGCCCCGACCTTTCCTTATACTGGAAGGTGCTAATATGTCCACTTGTTATAGTTAGCATGATAGGAGGTACGGGCGATCGTTTTGCCACAATGGGCCTGACATTGGCGTATCGAAGCAAATCACTCCAAGGCATTCAACGGTGATTTGTTGGAATTGTCAAGCCCTGGTGGGCTGAGAGAACGGAGACAGAGCAGCGTCCGTGTTCTGGACCCTCAGCGGAAAAGTCTAACGCACCAGTCAATACCCCGAGATCCACCGATTGAGCCATGGATTCAGGCTGAGACCAATTGCTTTTTTTGGATATGAACTCTATACAGAGCTTAGCGTCTAAAGGACAGCCCCACTTGAAAAACAGGGAAGTTGTGCATGTTTATTCGTTTGGCATATGTCGTGGTGTGGTTCGTTGTCGATTTGGAGGTAGGTTGGAATTCCATGGTATGGACTCGGTTTCCCCCTGCTCACCTGGCTTTTCAACCCTAACGTTCTAGTGGAAAGTATCGCGTGCATGGCTTGAAGGAACATGGAGAGAGGTCTCCAATTGCCCTTTTTGGGCCATCTACGGTCCAAAGCACGTATTCACAACGGCCGAAAGAACTTGCAGAAGCGCCCCATTTTTCCTATCAATTTTGAACACATCGGAAAAATGAGTATCCAATTGAACAAGTGTGAGCCTTTCCTGCCGAATTTCCGTTCACACCTGCAGATGACTTCAACGGTCTGGTGCCGTCTATCCCCTGGCATTCGCTAGAGATTTAGGTTTCCAAATTATGGCTCATCTTTGCAGATCAAACGTTCGTCAGGCATAAACGCAGTCCGATAGGACGTTTCTCCCACGTGTACTGTCAAAGCAACACCACCTCGGTTATTTTTGCCCAGGTGGCTTTTTGGCTCAATTCTGGTAGGTCTCATTTTCAGGATAGCGTATCCGTCATCTTCATGCCATTACTTCACGCCAATTGAGTTTCGCGGGGCTTGCCTCACCTGGGACCCTCGAACTAACAATGTGAAGGATAGCAGGATCGCACTACAAAAGTTTGTAAACCAAGGTTGAAGGGTCCATTGGACCCCTACAGACTTGAGTCAGTATGAGACACTTAAACCCCATCAGTATCAGTCTGCATCTTCCCAAGGCGTAGCTATTATACGTCCTGCATTATCCCTTTTCACATACAGGCACGCAGTAGTGTTATTGCAGTCCCTGTCGAAACATGGAACCTTCAGTCAGCGACTTCAAGCTCGTCGGACTGGCGGCGGGTTTCACACTAGGGTTCGGTTTCCTCACAGTCTGGAATGCAATCAAGCAGACTTCAGAAATTGAGAAGCCCTGGAAGAGCCCGTTCGTCATCCTTATTTGGATTGAAATCCTGTCTAATGTGGTAATCGGGGTAATGGGATGGCTTGTGCTGGAGGGAATTGTACCTGTCATGTATGGCCCCTGAGAACCGGCCGATGATACAGCTTGGCCTGGTGCTAACATTCTCCCCTCAGTGCACCTGTACTGGCACTTCTACTATTCTGCTGGGCGCTTGAAATCCAATGTTGTATGCAAGTTATCATTAACCGCATCTACATTGTGGTGGAAAAGAAGAAGACCGCGAGAAGGGTCAAATGGGGCACTGCTTGCCTCATAACAGCAATCAACATTGCAGTGTTCTGTATATGGATTCCGGCACATATGACTCCCCCAGTCAATCATACGTGAGTGCCTTATTCCTATTCTCTCCGAGTACCGGCTAACCTTTCCTTGTAGCTTTGTCCTCATTAATCGATACTGGGACCCGATTTCCAAATTACTAATATGCATCGTCGATGCGTGTCTCAACGTTTGGTTCCTGCGCGTTGTGCGTGTGCGACTGGTCCGCCAAAACGGACTAAAAAAATACGGGCCCTTAGTTCGCTTCAACATGCGAATGATGTTCATTTCCGTAATTATGGACGTAAGCTCACCGCACCTTCTTATCCTTCTCCTCGACCAATTCTGACATTCTACCCCTAGGCTATGCTCATTGGACTCATGTTCCTGCCTAACCCAATGGTGTACATCCAGTTCCACCCGGTTACGTACGTGGTGAAGCTCAACATTGAGTTGAGAATGGCTTCCCTCATCCGCAAGCTTGCGCGGGACAGCAACCTGAACAATGAAATCCATGAGGCATCAATGAATCTGCCGAACCGATTTCACCCACAGGGTCACTACATCAAGTGCGATGATGAGATGATGGAAAAGAGGAATTTGAGGCATATGCAGTTTGCCCAGCTACGACACCAGGGGTTCGAGAGCGAGGACATGAAAATCCTAAAGACAACCAGTGTTCGGGTTGTAAAAAGCCCGAGACCATTTGTGCAGGACAATCTGCCTCCGCTGCCACCTCTGCCCAAGGATGGGCGATGAGAGCTAGGTGTTCTAGTGATTTTTGTTCATATTTACATGTATTTTATTCAATGCACAATGTATATGATTTAGATCGTTGTAACCTATAACAGCCTGCAGAAATTATGGCTTTCAAATCCTATGACTGATATGCATCGTACGTTGCTGTCGTATTGAATACGCATAGCTGAATATGATTCGACTGTTAGACTAGCCCCTGGGCTACCTTTAGTTTACCAGGTGTTTACGGACTGGGCAAGACTATTTTCAGAATAGTGTACCAGAGAACACTTTGTGTTACTTCATTCATCTTGGTAATTGCTATCTGCGCCGCGAGAGACGTTAGGACTGGACAAGCCAGCATAGTAGGGGAGGAATCGCCCAGATCAGCCCCTATTCGTTCAATCAAGAGTAGATCAATCTATCTGTAGGGTTGTAACAGGTACGTTTCATACCAGGTATAATGAAGTGCTTCTGCAAGCCATACCTTTTATGAACGATTCCCACCGACAAAGTTTTCCGACCTATTGCCGCCAATTCCGGAGAGATAGTTACCATTTTAGTATGCCGTCCTACATCACTTCTAGGCCCAGGTCACCGGGGTAATCTGGACTGGAGGCTATCTAGCGAGAGGGGCAGTAGTTTGTTTACTGCTGAGACTAGGCAGAAGACACTGTCGCGACGCTCGCCCCTTCCCACAATAATCCCCCACGCGCACCAACATTTCGGCAAACCTTACGTATTACATTTTCGGAAGGTCGAAAATGTAGCCAGGACATCATAGATGTTCTGGTAGGGACCTGGACAGGACGTGGTTTGTTGTGACTAATCGGACGGAGTCCGAACACATCCGGGACGAGGCAGCCGACAAGCCTTGACAGGAGTATCATTTTGGGTGGACAGATAACCGTGCCCGAAACCCCCACATTGGAGTGATGCGTTAAGAGTTTGGAGGTGGCCAATCACCCGCATGGTGAACCATGTCTGATGCGACTTAACCGAGGAAAATAGAGGAAAAGTATTCCATGGGTCGATGACCCACTCTACACCTTTTAGTGCCGTTCACGCGTACATCGTGAGTTCCGGCCGAAAGGTCAGCAGACATCTCGATCGCAGATAAGTCTGACCAGGACCTCATCGTGATGGAGACATCCGGGCGATCATGGGAGAACTGTCCATGGATCACTCACGGGAGCACCGCCTCGTCGGTCTCGATTTCGGTGCTATTTGGTGGGAAAAAAAAAGGGCTCGAGATCGAACGGTAACCCATGGAAGAAATCGCGATGGCGTACGTCTCCACCGGGAGAGTTACTGCGAGACTTAGGGGGGGAGGGGCCGTCTAGACGAAGGTGGGTATAGGCTCGGATAGGATAGTCAGAATAGGGTATCCAGGAAGTCTAAAACTTGGAGATGAAACTCAGGGCGTTCATCCAGCAGTGGGCCCGGGATTATCACATTTCAATTGCTCATCACACGTGGCGAGCCATACCCTCGCTCAACTTTGCTTTAGACTTTGTGCCTGCGCGATCGGCCTGTAACCTTGGTGGCTTTTGGCTCAAGGGGGCGTTTACCTAGTTCGTATTTTCTTTTGCAGAAGTATCCCTGTCTCCCAGTTGTATATATGTTTCAAGAGGACCCCTTGATCTCTCACCATGTTTTTTTGACAATCAGCCTGGGATAGACTGAACAATTGATCCAACACCATCCACTATGAAACATACGATCTCTTTTAGAATGTGGGAGATGAAGAGAGGCTTGATCATCAAACTCTATCAAGAGGAAGAATGGCCTTTAAAACAAGTTCTTAAAAGAATTCGTTCGGAGACATTCAACCCAAGGTGAGGCTTTCCAAAGAGTCCTTAGAGGAAGACAAATGTCCTGACCGATCGGCTGTTCCTGCACAGTGAGACTCAATTACGGAGTCGCTTGAAGAAATGGGGTGTCACCAAGCTATCTCGTCGCCGCAGTCAGAACAAGTTTATCATGAGTCACCATGAAGACCTGAGCAATGAGAGCGGCTTCAAGTCGCCTCTTCACAGTGGGGATGAAATGGTACATTCAGCAACCATGAGCCATTCTACATCTAGGGACGACTTTTATACGCCTGAAAGGGGTGATACTATGCATGATACGCAAAAAGCGACTGGAACTATGCCACACAATGCTTTCCATTCTTCTGCTACAGCCATGTCAGCGATCAGCCCATCTTGGGAGTATCATGATGTTTCTCCTGGATACGGTCCACGGTATGTCACCTCTATTGTTAGCAACTCTTCTGGGGTACTCCAGGAGGGACGAGAAAATCCGAACGCACAGCGGTGAACTGACGCCTCAATTCAGGTATATACATCCTGGTCTCGACTATTACAACCCCGCGATGGAGCGTTCAAGAGCGGAACTATCATCCTCACCATGGGCCATGAATATGAGCTATGTTATGCTACCAGAGGATGACTCTGCTGCTCGGTTCTACACTACTGCACACTCTGGCATGTTCATGCACCAGCCAGCGCAGGCCACGGCTTTCCCAACTCAATCGGATTGGTTTCACACTCCAGAATGCCAATTGATATACCAGCCATCATAATCATAATGTACCCTCCGCCATGGTACCAGACGACCTTCTTTTACACCCTTAATGCGCTTGAACCGACATGTGTCTTTGTTATTTTCATACCCCGAATTGTCTAATATATCCAATATATCCTTTTGTCGTGAGTTTGAGATGTATAAGCCAGTGATATATTACGTTGCTCTTTCTGCCGATCTTGTCGAAGCATTTTTGCTTATCACAGTCGTTATGATCCTGTCACTTTTGTCTGTTTTTTCTCTTTTAATAGATCGTGAGTCCTACATGTCATTGAGACCTGGAGCTCTGCAGGATGAACTTGTCCAGTCTATGCATCACAGTGTACAGTCGCTCGAAGCAGGAACACACAACCTTGGACACAGGATGTACCATATACAGTGGCATGCATTTACAATGTACTTATACATTTTACAGTGAATGCTGTCAATAGTTCTACAATTCATAACTTGATACTCTGTCATCCTCTTTGTGTTCTAGAAGGAGAATGGCTACCAAATCTTATTCGCCATGGTAGCACTCTACTTGGCACCCTTGGGCCTAGACAAATCTACACCAACGACTTTATAGAAGCACATTTTCCTCCTACCGAACTACATCTCTTGGATTGTTTGTATACATGCTGTGAAGGAACACGTGAGAAGTTCTCCCCAAACTCATCCGGTATTTAAATCCCTGACCCAATTCAACATCATATTGGACCACCGTTGCTATTGTCTTAAAATGGTGGCAGATACTATTGGTATAAAGATATTTAAGACATGACGACTCGAAACAGGCATCGAAGGCCGTTCGCAAGCATGTGACTACAGCATACATCCCTTGCAGGGACGGGAAAGTGAAACTAGGTCTACTATTTAACCTATGACTTGATTCTAAGCTAACCATTAACAGTGTGATGGAAACACCCCGATGTATAAAAACTGTCGAATAAAATGGAAACACTGTAACGATCGACAAATGGGTGCAGAGGCAAGGTCCAAGTGAGAGTCTCCATTGGTTTCCTGGTAAAGAGAGTGGACCAGCTATTGCGCTACACCGGGGATCATGGCCTCCTCAGGCCGGGGATAAATGATGAAGGCTATGCGGCTATTAAGAATATCCTTGGCGCTCTTAAGATTACCTGTGAAGATTTCCACAGAGGTGAGGAACACTGTGAGATTAGAACTGTCCAACAGATTGATAATGATATCTGTTGAACGTGCTGCGACTCGACCAAAATACCTTTAGGCATTTGGTCGTGTCTCCAACCGAAATCTGGCCAACAATATCACGTACACTGATGGCAAAGGTGTGTCTTGAGGCTTCCACAGTTAGAAGAAGCAGGAGCTGACGGTCCAACAAGCCAGGGCTCCGAAGCATCCCGTCAAGTTTACCGGGATCCAAGCGATAGGGCACATTTAGTCGAAGACAATGCGGCTGGATAAGCCATCGTACAAGATAGTATCCCGCATTCTGGAAGGCAGGAACCGATGTATTCGACTTGGCTGGAAGAGGATCCCTCACTGAATGAATCTTGCTTTGAACCGATGGTCACTCCACATGAGCCAGAGGGCAATGAGTCAGACAGACCCGACAATGGATATGTCGCCTTACACCATGGTTCCTTTCGATCTGATATCTTCTCAATTGGTGTCCCTGTACGATTTAATGCTGCCCTTGACAGACGTGTTGTCAGTGAGACACATGCCTATTCCATGACTAGCAGGCTAATTCCCACATCACCCAGATACGGAGTTTCAGAAGTCTCGATCCCTTCGCCCCAAGTTGTGACTGCCAACACGGTGCAGAATCTAGAATTATGGAAGAAGAACCTCCCTTCTAATCTTGATGTTGAAGGTCGCCCCATATGCCAGGTACCAGTTCCCCAGCTGTGCCTTCGAAATGAACCCCTGTAAATCGGAAAGTGGCCAGATACTTGAATATTGTCTTCCAAGCGCTAGAAAAGATGGGAAGCTGCCTCGAGCATGCAAAACACACAAGCACCTTCCTCGGCACCGTGCAGTGCCAGTGGGAGGTCCGTCGACAGAACCGTATGAATACACGCATGAGCAGACGCCAAGACACTTCTGTTGACGTGGTGGGATCCAGAAAATGCCGAGGAGCACTAGTGGTGTTGATGGATTCCATTATTCAAGAGGAAATAACACCTTTGTCAAACATGCGACCTGGCCAAACCGTGCCTCGCCGTTGGGTGGTTTCAGGGCGGCTGGCTCGTCCGTCCCAGATCCGTTGGCTCCTATGGTTGATTTTATGGATCTTACTTAGTCTGTGTAATGTGCATCTTAGTGAGGGAATTCCGTGTTGTTTTGTGTGACATGCTTAGAGGATCTATGGTTGGGGTTTGCTTGGGATAGCTCGGAGCTATGCGTCTATATGTCCATCCCTGACTATTCACCAAGAGGAACGACATGGAACGAATAGAGTGTGAGAACTATCATGGATACATTGCGTAAAGCATTCAATATATTTTTATTATAGCCTCAATAGAATAGCAAAGGTAATATTTCTAATGAGGTACATGAACTCATTTCAAGATATCATCATCACATAGCACCGTTATGTTCTATATCCCTCCTTAAGCCGACACCGGAGTAATCGTAGTCACCTGGGTCAGGTCTCTGCTGCTGAAACCCACTCGGATGGTGAACTCGCCCTCAGGGATCAGCCAGTCCTGCGACACAATGTCCCAGTAGCTCAGGTCTCTGCGCATGAGCTCAAAGCCGACAGTCTGCGACTCACCGGGTGCCAGGGACACCTTGTCGAATCCACGGAGCTGCTTAGGCGGGGTTCCAGCAGGGGTGCTGTCTGGGAAGGTAACGTAGAGCTGTGGGACTGCCGCTCCCTGCACGTCACCAGTGTTCGTGACCACGACGGACACGTTGTAGACGCTCTCCCACAGCGCGGGGTTTCCTCCGGGCTGGATGGGCAGTTGTTCGGGGACGGAGGAGATAGACTCGGCCAGGGGTTCGGCGTTGATATCGGAAAGACCGAAGGTCGTGTATGACAGACCAAACCCGAATTCGTAAAGCACGGAGATGTTGTGGGCATCGAAGTACCGGTAATCGATCTCGAGCTTCTCGTCGAACCATGCCTGCCAGTCCTCCGGACCGGTGGTTGTCACGGCGGTCGTGGGAGGCGCATTGTAGTCGCTGCCGTTCTTGGCGATTGTGTATGGCAGCTTTCCGGAGGGGTTGACATCGCCGTACAGCACATCGACAATGGAGTTACCGGACTCCTGTCCGGGGTAGTGAGCGGCGAGGATGGCGGTCACGTTGGGGTGGTTGGCAAACGGAAGTTCATTGATGCCAGATGAGTGAGTGACAACAATAGTGTTGTTGCACTTCGACGCCACGGAGTCGACAACCTCGTTGCCATTGTAATCTACAGTAAGGTGTTCGCGGTCTGAGCCCTCTTCGGCCCAGGTCTTGAGGAAGACGAGGCAGGCATCTGGTGGCGTGGGGACCCAGAGGGTAGTCACGTCTGAATCCGCAATGAGGGTATTGTTCAACCACCACTGAACCAAAGTGTTGTCCTGCTGGCTACGGGACTTGAGGGCCTCCAGCGGGGAGACCAGATATGTGAAACGACCAGTTCCCGAGCCGCCACCGGCAGCAAGGGTGCCATATTCAAAGGTAGCTTGGTTGACGGCACCCACGGTGGTCTCACCAGCATCATTTCCAAAGACAGCGATTGACTTGGGGGCCTTCAAGGGCAGGGCCTTGTTCTCATTCTTCAGCAGGATAGTGGCTTCAGCTCCATGTCTGCGGATCAGCTTGCCATGATCGCCGCGAACATCACGGCTACGCTCTCCAGTCAGGTTAAACTCGCGAAGCCATGTAGAGCGAGGTGAGAATGTGTTGAGGTCGGCAGACGACGGGTCAACCGATGGGTAGTCTTGGTCCTGGCCGAGCCAGTAGTAAGGCGTCATGATACGGATAATCATATCATCCACACGAGACACATCAACGGTTCCATTGTTGACAGCCAGAGTAACGTTCTTTCCAAAGAACGAGCCTGCTTCGGGAACTAGGCCGTATTCTCCGAGACCTCCCGGCATGTCCATATCAAGACCCCCCTCAATAGAGGCGACACCAGAGTGAGTACCACCCCAATCAGACTGGACATAACCCTGGAAGCCAAGCTCCTCCTTGAGCAGACCATTGAGAACCTTCGAGTTCTGGCAGGCATAGGAGCCGTTGAGACGCTGGTATGCACACATAACACTGGCGACCTTAGCACGGGCAGCGTTGGCAAAAGGCCAGAGGTATAGCTCGTGCATAGTTCGGTCATCAATATTGGAGGAAACGGCTTCCTGGATGACATCCGTCAAGGTGCCGTTGGGATTATAGTTCGGATTGCGTTGGGTCTCTTGTTCATTGCCGATGAAGTGCTTCGCACAGGCTTGAACACCGACATCCTGGTAACCCTGAATAGTAAGCTCCATGGCAACACCAGTTAGGTAAGGGTCTGCTGCAAAGCCCTCCCAGTTTCTACCTCCATATCCTGAGCGTCCGAGAGGGCCAGCTACAGGTCCAAGAGCGACATGGGCACCTTTGCCCTTGAATTCCTCTCCCATAGCGACACCTCGCTCATATAAAATGTCTTTGTCCCAGGTCGATGCCGCCGTGACACCAGCCGAGAAGACGCTAGCATAGTCAGCGACACGAATGGCCAAGGGGCCATCCTGTAAGCAGAGACCATTGAAGCCCAGTCGGGGAATTGCCACGATGTTTCCAACGCAGGGCCCAGGCTGGCCGGTGACCATGTCGGCCTTTTCCTCGAGCGTCAACTGAGCAACAAACTCCTTGGCTTTGGCAAGGGCTTCTTCCCAGCCACCAGACCCGGTTGCATTGGCTGTTATGGAAGTCAGTCACACTGGGTCGTAGATTCAGTTCCGGATTGGGGACATACGGGACGGAAGCACAGCGGGCGAATGTCCATACTGGCCAAGGATAGTTGTGTTAAGGGGCTGGACATAGGAGAAAGCGTCTTCGCCTCGACCAGATCCGCCGTAGTCTTGGCCGTTGACCGCAGTAGCAGCCAACAGGCCCGAGACAATAAGGTGAGCAATGCTAGCCATGGTTCGCACCTGCGTTGTTGTTGGACCTCAAAGCAGCTCTACCGAAGTCATCTTGCGATCAATGCCGACCAGCAGGTACTACTTATAGTCCGCTCGACGGCTACCAAGCAGAATCTTGCCAGCCGACGATGAGTTGCTGCCGTAGGGTCCGGAGCATGGGGCACTGTTGAGGAAATTTGATGCCTCATTCACCAGGACCCACAACCCCACGGGGGCTCGCTTCGAATCGCGTGGTCGGCAGGGTTCCCCACAAATTCCGTTCCCCATATTCCGCTCGCGGGGTCACTGTGTGCAAATTTTTTTCTTCTCACCTTTTCGGCCAGCACCGCAGCGAGCACGGGGAACCTGCGGCAGCCCACGGAAGCACTCTGTTGCTCCCATGTCTTTTCTGAATGCACTTTAAACATCAACTCTTGCTCCCGCTCCCTGCGGCATAGTCGCATCGAGCGTTAGTCAAGCTTCATATCGGTCTCCCTTTTCCAGTTCCGACGTCGGCTCAGGATATACGGCAATAAACCATTCCGATGGCTGACTGGCAACCACACCAGAGACCGTACTAAACTAGTAGTACAACAATTATCACGTCTTCTCTGGGGTAGAAACTGTCGGGAGGTTCCGCATTCGGAATAATGAGGTCCAATCAGAGAGGGCAAGATTCGACGATCTCTCCTTGAACCTGCCATGTAACTACGGAGCGTTGACCCCAGAAAGGCCGAGACGAACCAGCATCACTTCTTACTTGACGGCCTGACATCATGAAGCCGACAAAATGACCGCATTTGTCTGGTCAATTGTCTTCTATCCGTGCGTAAGTTGTCGTAGATTATGCCGAAAACAAGCACTGTTACCGGTGAGCAAATCCGAGAGCTCAAGAGAAATGGTCCGAACACAGACGAAAGGCAGGTTCCCGAAGTTTAGCCGGAGGGGAAGAGTATCCTCATTGGATGTACCCCAGATAGTTTACTCCAGGCGTGGGGTGACTTTGGGAGGAATGTCTTGGCTCCATGCCTGGATCGGCGGGATGCCGAGATTTCACTACATAGCTTAGCGGCATTATCCCCGCAACATTTATACTCGGCAATGAATTAACCCAGAATCTCCAACCCAGAAACAGTCATATAGTAATACTACCGGCATTAGTCCGGAGATATATGTACGTTGCTTACTATCAAGTGGATCCCACACGGGAAACAACATGCTTGAAGTCACTGTGGCGCTAAAACTAATCTCCTCCAAATCTCGCGTATCCTCGGAATAACCCCAAACAAAGGCCTGGTCAATTACTATCGGCCCGGTAGCAGAGATGGTATAAGAGAATACAAACTGCTGTGACATGTGGTAGGCAAGAGCCAAGCCTGCCTGATACATGGGACATACGATTTCGGAGACGCCCCGGCCATGACCATAGACATCAATAGGTCACCAGTCGCAATAGGCCCATGCCAGTGGTGGCATAGTGCGGCTGTTGTTGGTAGCGTACGGGATTCGGGCGTTCGGCTATACCTACCCCATGATGGTCCTTATCTTCAATCATTTGTTTTATTATTAGTTTAAGTATTACTTCATTTTCCTTTTCTCTGTTGTATTCAGTAGACCTGGGCTCGGAAGACTTCGTACTAGTCTGAGTCATAAATGACACCGACCACACATACGCCATATTGGCGGTCCTTCTCCCGTGACGGCTTCCTCAAAAAGTCCCATCTGGACCTGCCTTTCTGGTTCATAACGTAATCACATCAGACGTTCGTTTGAAAATTCAACATGTTACTGTCAGTTTAAATATCTCGGATTCCGTGCGTGCAAAAAAAGGCTTTGCGCCTGGGTTAGCCATCTTTGGTTGAAACAATTTTGACTGCAACTAGCAAAGTTTTCCAAGGGGTGGGGGCTTCATTACAGGCAAAACATACCCTCCATGGAAATATTGACTTTCTCTTCAGAGGGCGAGGGGTTGGAAAATATATTCGCACTACTGAGGGTCCCCAAGGCCAGTGACCTGCTTTACAGAGTATCTCAATCTCTTTAGGAACCAGTTGATTTTGAGAATATAAAGCCCATGGATCCCGTAGGAATGCTGCTGGGCTAGTCTCTCATCATCTCTCTGGCCTTCAAAGCTGGAGATGTATTGAGAAATTAATCTTAAGAGGCCCGCGTAAAGCTGTTGTCGGGGTTCCGCTCAACCGTCTCTAAAACTCCAGTAAACGCATCAACACAGCCACCAAAATCAGCAATGGAGCTTTGGGGGTAAAGATACACTACATAAGGGTATGACTTGTCTAGCTGCTTTATTGAGTGCTCCAGAGGTCATAGGAAATACCTATTCCAAGCCCTGGCCTGGGATGGATCTGCCTCTTCCACAGACACGGTGGTTCCAGAAGTGGTCTTCACACCAACACTCTGTCTATTCCCAGTCCAAACGTCGTAGAGCGAAAATATGCGACCTTCTTGACTGAACAGCTTCCTTGAATATCGATTGACGAGTCATCCAATTTGAGCCGCTTGGGGGGTTCAGGCCAACATAGATCTCGGTCCATTCTCGGCATCTCGCTGTAGGGTTCTCTTCCAGCCAGCTCAAACTACCGGGCATGCCTGTTAGTACTCAAGGTTTGGTAAGCCACTCCTGCGAGAAATCGCTGTTCTCGCCTTTCAAAAGTTTGATTGGTCAATAGGTAGCGGTTATGCTTCGACAGTATCTGCCAAGGTCACTTATGTCGACCACCGGGCAGTAGTACACACAGAAGTACATCTTGAAAACGGTGAACGTTGACAACGTCGGCGTTATTTAGTGAATGTAGTCAACGCGTTCATAGGCTTCTAAGGTGGGGGAAATGAAATCAGAGTAAAGTTTCTTCATATCATTGCCGAGGTCGTATGACTATAATTTGCATTCAGATTAATGCCAGGACGTACTGAATTCTCTCTGGTGGTGAGTAGCTGACGGAAGGTCGGTGTGCTAGACATCTACCCACTTCTGTTATATAGGACAAATATGCAAAAAAAAAATAAAAATATAAAAACATACAACAGGAGGGATTCGCTGGTGGTCACCCACCCAACTACTAACCTCCCGGCGTGTGGCTTAAGTACGGCTGAGCGGACGGGAAGCCCTGTTCTCCACACCCTGTGGTCGTATGTACTGGATTGGTTTATGGAGAGGTTTATATAGAACTTAACAATGAGTAATACCATGGTTGTATCCTGGGGATGTCCCAAATCTAAGGTTTGTACTGGATCACAAACATAATATTTAAATTTTATTACATCATGGAGGCGTTCTGTTCCATTCTGGCTCACGTGTATGGACGTCCTCTGCATATACCCCGTGAATAGGAAACACCCCGCTATTCTAAATAGTTTGTCTTTATCCCTATCTAGATATATATATCACGCTATCTCACTATTTTAACATGACCTCCAGATCAGGGCTTCTTCTCCTTGCGCTTGTATTCACACCCACTTGGAGCCAGCAAACCCCAACATGTCTCTCTCCAGCCAGTATGGGTGGACCTCCCAATAAAGCCGCCTGCTGTCTCGAAACTGGCCGACAAGAGGAACCCGTCGATGGAGTCATCTACGAATATCTCTGTAACTACTATGCCACAAATACCAATGTCATGTACTACGAGGTCTTGAATGCTTATGAATGTGCCAAGAAGTGCTCCGAGACGGGCTTATGTCATGCCGCCTCGTGGAAGCCAAAGACTAGTCACAGTCACAGTGGGGGCAGGTGCTTCTTAGCTACGGCAGGGTTCGTTGAAATGCCTGATCGACATGGCGAATGGTTGCTTTTGGTCCGAACAGATCGAACGGCGTCAGTCCCTGGTGACACTACCAGCCCTCATCCTCAGCCTGATTGCCAGGATGAGGTGGATGAATCGTGGGCACAGCGCCTGGAAGTTACTGATGAGGACTGTGAAATGAGGACCACATCCATGCGGCAGCAGCTGCAGGCAAAAGAGGCGGACCTTGTGAATTGTAAGTGTCTGCAAAGACTGTGGCCCTAATTTGTTGCAACCGCTTACTTGCCTTCTTTAGGCGGTCGCGGGGAGAACCCATCCATCTATATCAGCAGGAGCCGCAAACCCTATAGGGCCTGGTGCAGGAGAGGTGAGTTTCATACTAGTTTGTTCTGAGTGAAAGCGACTGAAGGCCGTTCCTAAACCATCAATAGCACTTGTCCAAGTAGTTAATACAGGTGGGATTCATCTTGGCAGGACGAAAGGGCTCCATGAATGCCTAGGTCTATGTGATAGGCATAGTAGCTGCAAAGCACTCACCTACTGGATACACAAAGGACGGTGTGACGGCCTCTCAACTAACCCTGTACCGACCCTTGAGCGAACCATGGCCATAACCCTAACGCGCGTGTGAGTAAATCACCGCTTGTAAAAGAACTCATTGGACATGGTCAATATATGACAGGTGATTGGCCACAACGAAGACGGAACAGAATGCAAAACTCTGAGGTGGATATCCCGAGACTGCGATGATGCGTTTATTTCTATTCTTTTTCGACACTTGATAGATAGGTCGGGGCTATTGTCGCCTCCTGGTTAACAGCAAATGGTATTTCTGTCTAGTTTTCTTGCTTGCATCTAGTGGATAAATTCGTTCTCCCGTACAGTGAATGCACATTCCTCTGGCAAGTGAAGTGTATAACTGTTATTTCTTGTAGTATAATCTCGCGTTTCTTATATATTGCTGTTCACTAGGGTTTCAGCGATATCTCTACTAAAATACTCGGACGCCGACAACTTGAAATCAACGGTGAAATGATTCTCAAGATAGGAAAGGTAGGTGTGATTAAGATATTATCACCAAGTTTGTTCCTTCAGCCTCATCCGCGCGCATCATCAATTAGAGTTCCATTGCTCATGTGCATCACGACGGCATGACCAGTGATAGACATGTCAACAACTGACCAGTTATGAAGTAGACAAGCCATCCCGTAACGATGTACAGTCCCTACGTATTATTGAAGGGCAGAGCCTTCTGGTTAAGAGCTTTTCACATATCGAGGCTAGGACGGTATCGTGGCCCGTTTGTCATGTAAGTAGCTGCATTGGAACAGTTCTTATTGGCTTATATATCAGACGACATGTTTTGGCAGTATCTAAAGCGTCATGGAAGGATATTTGATAGTCTATATTTCGCGTGTATGTGTGAAGGCTTGGCAAGGGTGGTGTCCCAGTGCCCGCGAAACAATAAGCACACAGCAAATGAAACCTGGTATTTTTGGAAGAAAAAAGAAAAGATGTCTATTAATGTCAGGTGGTGGGGCCTAGACAATTCGTCTCACATAAACCTTTGATTTAAGCGCTGCTCTCGGCCTTGATGTCCTCTTCAGCCTGGCGTTTCACAATCTCACGGACCTTCTCCCACGAGTTCTCAACTGTTGTGACCCTGGTTTCTTTTTGCGCGAAAGCCTTAAACTCGTCGGGAAGCACCTGTTCATCGAAGTTGAAGCCGGCCTCGCCCTTTAGAGCTGATTCAACGACCTCGGAGAATTTGGCGGGGTGAGCAGTGGAGAGCGAGATGTGATGGACGTTCGGGCCAGTCTTAGCAAGGGATCTCTGCGCAACGGTAACTCCAACAGCCGAATGGGGATCAAGAACGTATTTCGTCTCCTGATAGCAGGACTTGATCGTCTCCACGGTCTCTGGGTTGCTCACACGGTCGCTGTCAAAAGTCGACCGCCCATTCTCCAACAAATCCTTGTCGACAGGGCCGAAGCCGCCAGTGGCCTTCAATGATTGGTACCAGGCCAAAACCTCTTCACCGGCCTTCTTTTTGCTGGACGTGTCGTCCAGGCCGGCAGCCGCTGCTTGTTCTATGATCAATCAGCATGAGATCAAAAGGTTACTATCGCGTGGGACATACCTTTCGCGAGGAACCACATGAGTCTTTCGAAGTTGCTGGAGACCAGAATATCCATTGCAGGACTTGGTGTCTCCTTGCAAGCGTCGGCTTTCACGGTGCCATCAGCGTTCTGTTCCTGAACAGGGTTCTTCTCGTAGCGGCCAGTCGTCCAAAAGCGGTGCAGGATATCGTTCTCATTCGTGGCCACGACCAGCTTGTCGGCGGGGAGACCCATCTTGGTTGCGAAGTAACCCGCGAGGATATTGCCGAAGTTTCCAGTGGGGGTCACAAATCTGACCTTGTCACCCACCTTGAACGTTGGGGACTTTCTAGCAAGCGAGAAGTAGGCGTAGAAATAAAACACGATTTGAGCGAGGATTCTCGAGAAGTTAATCGAGTTGACAGCACCGAGCTTCAAGGCCTGGTTGCTATCAGGGTCACCAAACATAGCCTTAACGATATCCTGGTACTCTGTGAGTTTTTTGTCCCGCGATTCCAATACGCTCAGAACCTACCTGGCAATCGTCAAACGTTCCCGTCACGGCAAGGTTGTGGACATTCCTGTCTGTGCAGGTGGTCATCTGCGCCTCCTGAATAGGGCTGACACGGCCCTTAGGATGTAAGATGACCACCGACACGTCCTTCTTGCCCCTAAGACCGTAAATGGCGGCAGATCCAGTCTGTATACACGGTTAACCCCGAGGCTAAACGAAGGGCACACCAATAAAACGTACATCACCACTCGTCGCGCCGACGACTGTCAAATGATGCCTATCTGCTAGTTGGTCAGCTCCACTGCGTTGCAACAGACTAGGGGCTTTGAAGCGCGTACCTTTTCCAACCTTTCCTTGGTTCTTCCGCACGAGGAGGTATTCGAAAAGATTTCCCAGAAACTGCAAGGCACCTGATATTGTCTCAGCACAATAACACCAGAACGATCTCGGGAAACACACAGTCTTTGAAGGAGTAGCTTGGGCCATGGAATAGTTCGAGAAGATATAGGTTGTCATCTTGCAGATGCGTCAAGGGCACAACATCTTCGGCACGGAATGTCGAGTAGCTCCGTTCAATGATGCCTTTCAGGTCTTCTGGCGGGATTTCGGAGGGGGAGATATACAGGCTAAAGATCTTGAACGCGAGCTCTGCGTAGGAGAGATCTTTCCAACTTTGCTGCGATCTAATATTAGCCTCAAATTCCTGGGAATCGCTTCGAAGGCCAGAAATGAAGACCCCGGCATAGAGTAATTATGCGGCATTGGGCATACATACCCAGTCATGGGCGATTGGGACTTCGTGAGGCAAGAAAAGACCGCCATCCGCAGCGAGTCCCTTCAAGACAACAGTCTCGAATGAGAGCTTGGGGACAATCAGTAAACCGTCAAGGTATGACTCATGCTGAGAGGACGAACGCCATAGTCACCACCTCTGGTGGAGAGGAATTTTTGAGATTCCGTCGGAGCTGAACTCGTCATATTGTTTGTTGTGATGTCGCAATTCTTGCGCTGAGAATTCCTCCCTGCTGGTATATGTCTGCGACGGAAAGTTTGTGACTTTGATGGCGATGGCGATGGCGATGGCGATATCGGCCAGTCAGACGAGGGGTCGATCCCGGAACATCAATTCGCCGGTCGCGCCTTTGCCTTTTATCCGGAGGTAGTAGGCGGTCAGGATATACTTGCGCACGTAGGGCGGCCAATTCCCCCACCATCTTCACCGCCCTCGGCATAACTTTTCAAATCCTATCTTATCAGCACACGTGCAACCAGCATATCCAAACCCCTGATGGTCTAGTTGGATATGGCGTCCGGCTGCAATGGATTACCTTGTAACCGGAAGGTCGCCGGCTATTCCGGCTCGGAGGACGAGAACTTTTTTAGCTGTCCGAGGGGTGTAGTGGTCATCACTATACAGTGTATTTGGTCCCAATCCCACGGCAACCAGACCTAGTTGTAGCCAACCGTATTGGAAGTGGGATTGACTAGATATACGCCCAGTGCTAGAGAAAGGTTTAGGGGCTATTCTAAGAATCACCCCATAACTATCGGTGGTACATATATTCATTTAGCTGATAACCTTCGTAGCGTATCTCATCTTGATGTTTTTAGATCTCTCTCTCTTGTTGAACCAAAACACAAGGGCATGTAAAAGGAGCTCAAAAAATCACCATATACTGAGCCTATTATGCCAAATTGCTTGCGGATCATCCATCGTTTATTCATTAATAGTATCCAGTGCAAGCCACAGAACCTGAGACATGAGAATAAAAGGCACTAGTCTCCGGATTAGCTCTCTAGAGGGCGCTATATTATGGAGATATACTGTACGTCTCTGTTACACCCACGATAGAAACCGTTTTTATATCGTTCAGGATCCTCCAATCGAGATAGAGAACACCCGAATATCCAGCATGGTAGAATGCTCGCATATATGCCTGAAATGTAAAGTAGCAGCTGAAATAAATATGTATATCTTGCATACATGTGATGATATCAGCGCAGTAGCCATCGAAGAACTTAGAAGGCCATTGTCTCTCTCCTATATCTCCATAGCCCATCTTGTGCATTGGCAGTGCTTGTCTAATCAGGCGAACAAAGATATCAAGAGGTGTTGGATGGTTTACTTTATAGAACTTTAGAAGTCAAGTATCTAGTTTTCGATGTAGTAGTACTATCCCAAGAATTAATGGAGCTTAGATGTGCTAGGCTATATAATGGCTCACCAATATCTCCATGTAATCTGCGATGTTTGTTGCGACCCGTTTCGTGTCTGCAGACGATTCTATCTATCGTTCAAGCCTTCAAAGATATATGCACATCATTTCTGTGGGTAACTTTTCACTGTTCGACGCTTTTCTTCCCCTACCCTAACTACAATGTACAACAAGCCAAAGATCCCAGGAGGGCTACAATTTGGCATTGAAAAAGGCCTGTTTTATGACGTTCAAAGGTACGAACGAGAGACTTCGAACAATACACAACGTACAAGAAGCTAAAGCAAGAGATCGCGGGTGCCAGGCAGCGAGCACGGAACGTACTACTTACTCAGATTCAAGCAAAGTACGACCGCGAGCAGCCGATGCTTAAAACCAGATGTCAGCTGTCTGGGTTCAACCTGGCCGAGGAAGAAAAACCTCTCAGATGTTCGGAAGCTGTGCCAATGCCTCAGAAGCGACTGATTGAGTCTCACCCTACCTCGCCCAGCACTCGAAGAGGAAGTGGCTAGAAGGACAGAAACAATTGATGCCGTAGCTGCTTACGCTCTTTTCTAAGGTGATATGCATGCGACTGTGACATGAGTTCGCTCTTCACAACCACAGTCTCGTTACCAGTGAAGCAGATGCATTGGACACTTCTTTGAATCATACCCGCATGCTTTCTTTGCATTATTATTCTCGAGTCGCATAACAGATCGGGACGAACAGCTAGGCTCTTCATTAAGGAATCTTAAGGGCAATTAGCGGGCTGGCATCTCGATAAATCGTAATGATCGTTTCATTAAGCTTTCACTAAGAAGTGGCTCAGGGCGGTAAGAAGTATCAATCTTACTACATGCTATTGGACCGTCTTGGTGTTCAATTTGGTGAGTTGGATGCCAACGGTTACAGATATATTTTTACCACTCGCTCGTGAACCATCACTGGCTCATATCCTAGCTCCTGCGGGACCATCCCTCAGAGAGCGGAACTGAAAGGCCAATGAGATCAGGTTTACTTCGACAGTTGCGGACTCTCGTGTGGGCTAGTCCTCTAAATCGCAGTAGCCTGCCAGATACCAAGCGGTTTGGGTAGTGCATATAAATAATAACACACGCTTGTCTCTGATTATCCTGCGAATTTCCATATCTAAGGTCTGCCTAACTGTTGACACATGTGACATTTTCCCGATCATCTCGAATCTCGTCATCTCGCTCATCTTTATCCATCATAATGCTACCCAATTATCACGAGTAAGACATGTTGCCACGGAGAACGAGAGCTTCTGACTGACCAACACCCAGTATCATGCAATCCAGGACGGTTGAATTCATTATCGGCAAAAACTGAAACCGCTTCTCGATTCACGCTGCGTTGGCAAGCTTTTTTTTCCCGGAAGGTATTCAATTCCCCTATCATTACTGAAGATGATGTCGACTTAGGCCGTTGCTGTGAATTCGTATATTGTGGTGATTACTCTGTTCCGTTGCCAACTTCCAAACTCCATCACTTATCCTGATTGATTTGTCTTAAGTGTTGAAGGAGACGGACGGACGGCTCACATACCCTTCGATTTTCACCCAACTATTTACGCTCGAAGCAGGAAGATCAACCCCAATGCAGATGTTATGTAACGACAGAACGACGACAAAGCTTGATCTGTGTTTCGACTTGACCTTCCGTAACTTCGCCATCGACAAATTAAATATTACTTGGCGAATTAAAGACTTGGATAGCTGCCAACCAGTCTTTTCGCGTATCCACAATCCCTAGACTTCGTCACCAGGCAGGACTAACGACTTCATACCACCACAACCCAAGTACAGCACCTAGCACAATTGCAACCGCCGGCGGGACCTTGAACCATACACTCTAGGCATATATAACAGCGGCAATAACAACCCACCAGAGCTCCTTTACCAAACTCTATCCATCACGATCCTGCAGAATTAAATATCCGATTTCCCAAAGCCAATACACAACTGCAAACACTAATCCAACAGCTAATACATTCACACCTCGGAGCAAGTCAATAATATATTTCTGTTTCCGTAGAACACACCAAAAGAACTGGATTGCAACGGCGAGGGTAATTCTAGAAAAGAAGATCCCTAGTCTACCAAAAAAAAAAAGGTACCGAGAACTGTCGGATAAGATATTATTCAGACAGTAAGAATACCGAGAAAGACCGCAAAGTCAAGATTTGGGCCAAGAAAGGCCTAAATAATTGCAAGGCCGTTAGGAAAATCTCGACTAGAAACCCAACCCGGGTCTACAACGTATAACCGGAGTAAAGAAATAACGACGGGACCGCCACCGAAGATTACAGTACCAGCTAAGTACATATTCACGAAGAGTTGGAGAGATAGAGGCGATCGAGATTATATCGACCTCTAGGATAGTGAGCTCATTCAGTTGAACAGCGGATTTAAGGTTGGAAATGCACCCGACATGGATCCAATAGGAGGTCGGGAACTGTTCAACATGTAACATGCATCGCGGTCTGTTACCGCGAGCTTCTAATTGGCTGTTGCTTTTCGGGACCTGCTCGGGTTTAGTTCAAGAGGCCAACAGGGGTAGAAAAGGTGGGCCGCGGGTTGTCTGACTGAGAAGGACCAATTTGCTTCCTCACGTGTGCCCAAGTTGTCATCGTTGCGACGGATCGACCCGCCATCAGTTGAGCCCATGATATAGTTCTCAGAATTTATTGAGTCCCACAGCAAAGATCGACAGTCTCGTAAGAATCGGGCGCAAGACTAGGTTCGACATAAGAGATACCTCGACGGCGCCAAGAAAATGTTCTCCATCTGAATGGCCAATGGTTTCGTCTAGAGGGAAGCTAGTCGATAGTTTCCTGGGAGGGTCCAGCCCATCCAAAGATCTCTCAGTCTTCCTGGTCAACGGAGCTGATAATCATAGCGCTGCTCCGGGAGAAATATGTCACGCAATACGCCACAGAAATTACCACTTCGGCCCGAGATTTGCCGACGGCTGGTTGAGCTGTATTTAGAGCTAGCAAGACCCTGGATGGACAGATAGTGAGCACTTTTGTTCCTCAATATGGCCTCGAAGGTCCATCTCGTCCGCCACGCAGAATCGGTCCACAATGTCACTCATGACTTCTCTCAGTTGGATCCTGAGTTGACCCCTCTTGGCCTTCAGCAAGCCACAAGGCTCGGCCAGCTATTCCCCTACGCCCCCCAGGTGGGTGTCATCATCACCTCTCCACTCAAACGAGCTGTTCAAACCACCCTCACGGCTTTTTCGCATATCCTTGATAAACGGTATTTCGACCCCGGCTCTGGGTACGGAGTGGAGGATGGCGCAGTCCTTTTCTTGGAACCGGATTTGCAAGAGAGAAGTGCTCTTACCTGTGATACGGGGTCCCCAACTAGGGTCCTGGAAGCGGCTTTTCCGAGGCTAGGTTTCCAGGATTTGGCTGAGGGTTGGCAAGTGAAAGAGGACTTCTATTCTCCCGCCGACGAAGCTGTGGAGGAGCGGGCACAGAAGATGAGATCTCGTATTGCCGCAGTTTGTGAGGATCTTCAACACCAAGGACGGACGGACGTTGTGGTTGTAACTCACGGGGTGTTCATGAGATTCTTATTGGGAGACCCAGACATTGATCTGCCGAAAGCAGGCTGGAGGAGCTATGCTGTTGGGAACCACAGCTCCGATGTTGTTCTGTCGCCTCTCTAGTGACAGCTCGGTCTGCCTCACTGGTTACTTCCTGTGTGAGCTTGATTGTGTGGAAGTGGCCCCCCTCATTGTGGCTAGTTTCGTGGACGAGTTTTCTACTCCAACTCTCTTAGGAACAATAGTTAACAAAGAAATGATGGCGCTGGAAGCAGCTCTGATGATCTTTATATAAATATATCACTCTTCATCTGGATAGTCATTTGAATCCGTCTTCTACATGAGAAATTTGCCCTCAAATAACAGTGTTGGAATAGAAGACCTCTTGAAAGATATGACACGGATCAACATTGGACAAACTTTTAACGAAGAAGGCCCACAAATGCTGCGGACCATAGAGCAGCACACGACGAGACGGCGAAAGACCGAACTTCTGGAAACTAGATCATCCAGCGTCAACTGATTACTCTGTTGTTTTATCCTTCATTCAGTAGTTGAAAAACGTCCATGTTCCTCACCATGCAGTTGTAGTTTGACTGACACCCTAGTTCCGAACGTATATCCCGCGTACCAGAGCAGCTCCGCATAGATTCGACGATCCCAGTAGCAGTATCGCATGGAGTGGACTGCCCTGAGCCCCGGATCCTACAGGTTGGATGCAATCTATAATTATCATGACTAGGAGAATCAATAGGAGCACGTTGCTCTTTGTCAGATACTTGGTCCTCTGACAAAGCCACCGGATGATTAATGGCTGGGTTTGACAGTGATGAAGTACTCCCCACGGCAGCGGTCATATCCGATGGGCTTCTGCAGTCCATGCTCAATGAAATTGGTTGCGCGAAACCATTGCTGACTGTATTTGAATTGGGAGACTTCCTTGTGTGTGGTCTCACTTGTCTGCCTGAGCGAAACCATTGCAGAACCTCCTCACGGCAGATACTAACTCTGCCTTCCGAGGTGCAGGATAAACTGCATGCCAGGGCAAAAGAGATATATATATCATTGCTCCATCGTGGTTGTTGAATCAGCAACTAATGAAGATGGGCATGTGTTGGAAAGGACTTCTACCAGATTCTGACCCACTAGGATGGTGAACAGCGGGTTTCTCGGGTAGACGTGAGTTCCTACGATACCGGCAGTCCATAGGAACGATTGATTCTACCGACACGAGGCACAAGCACCACAGTTGCTTTTGTTGGAGGCACCCAGAGCTCGTGCCCTGATGCCTCTGCAAACTCCAGCACTGCTTCGATTGTACTGGCTCGCAAGGCAGTATCTACTTGTCTTTCCTTACCTTCACGGCCCCCTAGCAGGTACCGATACGCTATTAAACGCGTCCCTGACTTTCTTCCGGAGCCCTTGCCGAGGTATCTTTAACAGTGGGCAGTCTATCAAGACGTGGACTGCTGTTTCTTGTGCGCCACATGCGCAATGACCGTCGCAGGGTACACTCTTTTTTTTCTTTTATTCATACTCTGGCCCCTCGCCTATGTTGGATCCCAAGACCACATGACCATATGATACACCACATGTGAAGTAGTAGGCTACCCCTGGTAGCCTAGGAGGCTGGTGAGCTGGGCAGTAGGAAGGCAGCTACTTTGGTTATAAATAGCTGTAACTGCTCACATAGTTGAATGATCATCACACTTGTACCTCAATTCAGGGTTACAACTGCCTAAGCGATATGTAGGATCCCACTATCTAGTCCTTATATATTTATATATATATATGTATATGTATATATCTAAGTACATGACCCATTACTTCCTAACGAATTTAGAGCCTCGCCACGGCCTGTGGTTGCCTACATGCCTGCTGTTCTGTTCTGCGGCCCTGTGGCTCGTGGCTTTCAAACCTCTGCGATGCCTCTGCGAAGTCCAGTACTGCGCCTAAGACGCTGCTGTCTTGTCTATCACCCTGTTTACCTTGCTTGCCTTGTGATCCTCCTCCCAACATGTCTGATATGTCGTTAAATGCGTTGCCAATTTTCCTCCGCAGTGTTGGTGGAGACCTTTCCATCTTGGACGGTCAACTAGAATATGAATGACTGTCTCTACTGCTCCACATTCGCACTTATCATCATCCCCGAAGCCATGTAGTTTACCGTGTGTTGCTAGCCATGAGTGGCTAGTTCGGAGCTGGATAAGCAGGTAGGCTTGATTCCAGGGTAGTGAGCCATAGAGCCTCCGGGTATGGATCGACGCTGCTGGGGATCTCAAGGGGCACAGACTGTCGGTGTTCTGGAACAAGTATATCATATATTACAGGAATCACGTCGGACGATTACTAACCAAGCCAGCAACACAACCGACAGAATCCCTCAATCCTCGGAAATGCAGGAACTACGAAAGGAAGTATCAGAACTCACCGCGATAGTACGCGATCTTCGCAACGGCATGGCCACAACCCAGACGTCACAAACTAACGCCAGCGCGTGAAGAAGTTGGGCAACCACTTGCAACATTATCATTGGTGGTATCTTCTTCAACGAGGGCAACCCGGGCGGAGCTGGGTCTGCCAGTGATAAGACTGGACACCAACCAAGCCCCCCCCAGATGCCATCAAAAGTCCTGCAAGAACCAATCCAGCTCCAGCAAATCGTCGGTGCCTTGGGACTCTAGAGCGAGACGGAGAACATCCGAATTGAAGGAGTTAAAAACAGCGCCGCGAAACATCGTCAAGGCTTTCGCGGAGCGAGACCAAGACGTGAAGCTACTCCGGGAACGATCGGAATCGCCGCAGGCTCTCTCGGGAGTGGAGCTTCAGCGAGAACAACGGTATCCTATCAAATTGGACGCACTCCGGAAAACCGACGTCTTTGACGATCTGGAAAAGGAGAAGAGCAACTTCTAGGAGAATTTCGCTACAAAGAACAGAGGTTCTTAGATAAGAATAATCCAGTGGCTGAGAGGTGGAAAAGCATACAGATCAATGGCGGTCTATCTGGCAAAGGAAAGCGAGGCCATGGCACTCTTAAGCCACCGACTGGTCTATGTCGGTGGTGAAGTAGTCTTCTCGAAAGTCTTTCAACACCAGCTCCAACCAGTCCGCCGCCACAACTGCCAACAGTGCGGACATAAAGCAGCTCGATGTCGCCGCAATCGCATACTGCACATAGTTCCGCTTCTCCGTCAACTCCGGGTCCCTCCGGGCCCCGCCAACAAAAGCACGCTTTTCCTTACTGGTAACCAAGTATTTGTCATTTCGCGCATACGCCAGCGCTGATAATACTGATACGCGAGCAATTGGTAATATAGAGCCTCTAGAATGAGTTCAACTCACAACGTACAATTAACCACATATCTAATTGGGTTAGATTAGCCCTATATAGGAATAGCGTATAAGAATTGTCTCAATATCTCACTATACTTAATGACGTGCTTCCAAATCTTTGTCGATTTTGCCCCGTCAATAGCGTCAAATCTTGTTGATTTTATCGCGCAATAACCCTGCCAAATCTTGGATAATTTTATTCAATGATAGACTGTTCCAAGCGTTATAAGATGCTGAGTCTTATAGTGCTATTTTTAGTGATTTCATCTGAGGATCCGCTAATAAATTCGCCATAGAGATCAATCGGTTTTGATAGTCAATCCGAACAGGTGTTCTAGGCTCATGACAAATATGTGATCGGTCTCTGTCTAGAGATAACCCGGGATGGGAAGTTTTTGTGATGTCGTAATTATTTGCTCACGATAATGTGGCTCTGGGAGTATATAAGAAGATTGAAAAACGCATTCTCTAAAAGACAATTTTGAAGGAACCCAAGTTGGCTCATATCCTCGCTCCTCGCCTTTATCGATTGGCCCAACAACAACAACCATGAAGACTTTCACTTCTGCCTTGATCGGTGCTGCTGCATTGGCACAGAACGTCAATTCCTCTCCTGTTTCTGGTCCTGCTGGACTGGAATTCCCCAATGTGACCGGGTTGATGAATCATACCGTTCACGTTTCCAACGGCGGATCAGCCCATTGCGTCTCCGGCACCGTTAAAGTCAACGCAACAACCGACAAAAACCTCAAGTTCGCGTACAACTTGCCCTCTAATCAGTCGCAAGTAACTCAGACACTCGTCCGCCTGTGGTCGTCAGGCGGGGATGGCTACGTGAAATCCCTCACGAGCGGCACCCAACGGGTCACCGGCAGCTACGATATCGAGGCGACCTATTGTCTGCCTGCAGGCGAAAACTCAAAGACAACCAAGGTCCAGCTCCTCACGCACGGTATTGGCGTGGACCGCCACTACTGGGACTTTGCCTCGGGATACAGCTACGTCGACACCGCCGCGGCCGCAGGGTATGCCACATTCCTGTACAACCGTCTCGGCGTTGGCGCATCGTCAAAGGAAGACCCATTGAATGCCGTGCAATCGCCACTTGAGCTGGAGATTCTCGCGGCACTGGCAAGCAAACTTCGCCAAGGTACTCTTGGTGACCGCGCCTTTTCGACTGTCGTGGGTGTAGGCCACTCGTTTGGGAGCATCCTGACCCAGGGTGTCACCGCGGCTTACCCAAAGACCCTCGACGCCGCAGTGCTGACGGGATTTACACTCAATTCGGACGGTCTGCCTGGTTTTGGCCTGGGTCTTAATGCAGCCATTGCCTCGGAAACCCAGCCATACCGCTTCAGTGGGCTCTCTGCTGGATACCTTGTCGCTGGGACGCCCGTGTCGAATCAGATTGCGTTTTTCTACGACCCGGGTTTTGACCCCGAAATCCTATCACTGGCAGATGCCACCAAGGGAAGCTTCACTCTGGGTGAACTTTTCACGTTAACGCACGTTCTCAATGCAACAAGCGAATTCCAAGGTCCCGTTGCGGTCGTTGCTGGAAATGAAGATTTGCCTTTCTGTAACGGAAACTGCAGTTCTCCGACCAATATTTTGGCTGACCTTGTGCCTGCGCTGTATCCGGAAGTATCAGAGAAGGATATTGCTACCTATGTGGCTCCTGCTGTAGGTCACGCCTTGAACTTGCATTATGCGGCGCCGGGTGCTTTCAACTTCATTCAGGACTTTCTCAAGAAGCACAATGTGTAAGGGTCGAGACTAGGGGCATGAGACCTATGAAGACCACGGCATACTGCAGGCAGAAGTGTTCTGGGCTTGACTGCGAGCTCTGTCATCATTGATGTCTGCGCTAGTGGTAGTCGTCTGTAATAAAGGCAAGAGATTCAGATGTTTGTTGAAGATAAATAGGGGGGTTGTAAATTACAAGAACAATAATTCCACGTTTTCTATAAGAGGTTCCGCCTTGTTTTTGTTTAGGTATCTATGTTTACTACTCCTCGAGTGTTAGTTATTGTTTATGTATGCTTACTCAGATAAACTAATGCCAGGGATAGGCCTACTCCGAACATAGAAAGCATATGTGGCTTTACAAATTAATCCCGTTTCTGCCCCTGTTTTAGTACCAGCCCAATTCTTAGATATGAATTCCCTTCCATCATGGAATGATATCTCCCTTGCATTGGAGTTAATGTCTCATGCCTATTCCGTCATACTGAGATTCATACCTAAATGAAACTATCAATCATGGGTTAATCCTGAAGGTTTCATGGAGCACATTAAATGTGTTATTTGCCGCTGTGTTTGGGCTAGAAAACGGCTCACTATGAAGACATAAGCTATATCACTGCAGTAGAAGAACAAACTGTCTATTCTTACCAGTACATTGAAGGTCCATGGCGGAGACTTCAAAACGCCAGACAGTCTTGCCTGAAAAGTTATGGGGTGGTAATGTTCGCCACGGAACCCCCTCCTCCCATGAAGAAAGCACCGGGGATAGTCAATCAGTCCAGGACCATACCACTCGATTTGGTATCCCAATACAATCAAGCCATGCTTATCTATCTCTCGCACATATACCTGAGGAAAAGTCGTATACTGAATACCACAAATACTATAACATTGATCAAGCTGGGCCCGGGGTGATTGCTCTGAAAGGTTTCACGATACTATCTCGTTTCTTATTCATTCTATCTTTGGCAGCGGAATTGCCACAACATCAAGTTGACTCCACCGTGACGCTAGCACACGCCCGTCCTTGAACGTCGCTAGTACATGATCGTTAAACCTATCAAGCACAGCTATATCCTCCAATGGATTTGCGTTAAGAACAAGAAAGTCAGCGGCAAATCCAGGCGCAATTTGTCCAAGAAACCTGTCTTGCTTCAGCAGGCGAGCAGGGGTAATAGTGGCACTCTGGAGGATTTCCAAGGCTGTCTGTACACTGCTGCGGATAGCGAACTCTTTATTCTGTGCAAAGTGCAGTGGCCCTAAGAGATCTGTTCCGAAACATATATCTACACCAGCTTCGCTAGCGAGCTTGAGTGCATGCAACCCCTTGTGCAGCACCTCGCGATTCTTCTGGGACGAAGCCGGGGGCATGAACCCGCGGAACTCCGGCGAGTCCATTGTTGCGTACGTTACTAGAGTCGGTGTAAGGAAGACCCCCTGCTCCTTCATCAACTTCGCGGTGGCCTTATCGAGGAGATTTCCGTGTTCGATTCCCTTCACCCCTTGGCGGATTGCTTGTTGGATGGCCTGCGGTGTGTACGCGTGGGAAGTGACATACGTTCCCGCATTGTTAGCTACAGTGACAATGGCTTTGATCTCTTCGTCGGAAAATTGGAGATGGTGGATCTGGTCCGATGGACTGGCGACACCGCCCCCTCCCATGATTTTGATAAAGTCTGATCCTTGTCGTATTTCCTCGCGAGCGTATTTCAGACATTGTTCCACACCGTCCACAATACGTCCAATGCCGTTCACGTGTCCCGCACAGCATTCATTGGGGTCGTGCTGTTGGCGACGATCTCCATGACCACCTGTCTGTGAGAGAGCGTGTCCGGCAATGAACAATCGTGGCCCGGGTATCACACCCTCCTGGATTGAGTCCTTTAATGCCAGGGATGCCCCTCCACAGTCTCGTACCGTTGTGAATCCTCGGTTCAGCATGGATTGACAGACGCTTGGCTGACGGAGAAGGCTGAGGCTATCGCTGAGATCCTTCAGGTCTCGTAGGCTTGCAGATCCTGGGACAGCAGCGATATGCACATGGCAGTCGATAAGACCGGGGCAGATAAACTTGCCATTCAGGTCAATACGGATGGTACTAGACTCGGTATCGTCCAATTCAGCTGCACTGCCAACGGACGAAATTAACCCGCCGGAGAGCTTCACTGATGTGTTTTCGGTGATGCTCCCGGTGACAGGATCGATTATATTGGCGTTGGTAAAGATGTATGTCTGCTGGGGTTCTGGTTGCCAAGGCTTGATAATGTGCCGAAGATCGGGCAGAGTAACATGTGACGGCGTGGCCATGATAAGACAGAGGGACAAAGATCTAAGAAAGATAGCGTTTGCCTTAGGAACTCATCAGCTAGCTTGAAAGCACCGGTTGCTTGTATTGAAACATAGTCGCTTTATCGGGCATATATAAGTCATAAAGAGAGGATGGCTTACTCAGCTATGCAGCGGCGGGTACATGTACCCGCCTCTAAGACCCACGTCAAACGAAATGGACCCATTTAGCGTGCGGGTCCATGTACCCGCAGCACGAGTAAACTAACCCTTCAGCCATTAGGCTTTGACACACCTTTCCATCTTTGGACTACCGTCGTCGAATCTTCTCCGTCAGGCGCAGGGGGCAACTGCAAGAAAAAGGAATCTTTGGCAAAGCCATACAGCTTGGGCGAATCATGGGATATTTGACGAACCCTACCTGCCCTTGCGTATGGACTGGATGGCTTAGGAAAAACCGTCCAATGCAGATGTGGATCCATCAAAGATAATCTGGGGTGCGGGGTTTAGCGTTATCGCTCGTTATTGCAATCCCTTGATGACCCTTGTAAGGCTATAAGAAGCCATCTGACGCAGATATCTCTGGCATACTCTCTATAGTTCGTTGGTAGCAATTGAGAAGTTGTATATATCATTCATCCCTTCAAAACCCTTCTTCATCGACACACAAAAAAAGACCAGAATGTTGGAAGAATCCGAGAAGGCCGTTCCGGAAACGCCAACGGCAGCATTCCTTGATCCGGAGGACGAGAGACGTGTGAAAAGAAAGATCGATTGTGTTGTCCTTCCATTGGTGAGTATACGATAGCTTTGTTTGGCCATAAAGATATAGAGTGCTGAAAGTAGGAACAAGATGTGTCTTGTCTTCTTTTCTCAATGTAAGCCACCATCAAGATCAGGCAGTTGCTATGCATTGTGCCAACCATCCCCTTTTGGGGTGAAACCCTTGCTGATGACGCCAGAGTTCAGACCTCGACAAGCAGAGCTTAAGCTATGCTAGCGTGTTTGGAATGATAGAAGACCTAGACCTCCATGGTTCACAGTTTTCATGGCTGGGATCTATCTTCTATGTTGGGCAGCTAGTATCAGAGTTTCCAGCTATGTACCTGATGAGCCGCTTGCCGCTCACTAGATTTGTTGCTTGTACAGTGTGAGTCTGGCCGCTGCGTAACTCTTTCAAGGAACCCCACTAAAATGAATGGATCAAGGGTCGTCTGGGGAGGGATATGCATGGTAAGGGCTCTTCGTTCGTTCCAAGCATATGATGTCCAAGAATAATTGGAATGTTTCTATAGTGTCTGGCAGCTGCGACGGCTTTCCCATCATTTATGGCAGTGCGGTTTTGTTTGGGCTTGGCTGAAGGCGCTGTATCACCGGCTTTCGTTACCCTAACCAGTATCTGGTATAAAAAGACGGAACATCCCATGCGCATAGGGTAGGATACCCCCGTGTACAAGTCTTTCCATTTGTCTTGAGCTGGCTATTAACGTGTGGATATTAGTTTGTGGATCAGTTGCAACGGGCTCGCTCAGATTGTCGGGGCTTTGATGATGTACGGAATCGGCCATCAAGAAATAAATATTGCCCAGTGGAAAGCCATGTTCCTCATATGTGGTGGCCTAACGATGCTCGTGGGCATTTTATTTTTCTTTCTCATGCCCACGGGTCCTGCTACAGCTTGGTTCCTCAAGCCTCATGAGCGGGAGATAGCCACGAAGCGACTGCAGGCAGAAAGTGAAGGCGGGGATCACACCCATTTCTCTATATCACAGTTGACAGAGGCAGTTGGTGATATTAGAGCATATTTGAGCTTCCTTTTTGGTGTTCTTATTACACTTCCCTCGCCCGTTATTGCAGTAAGTATCTTGAAGTCCTGGGTCCATCATAGTTACTCACGATTCCCGGAACACAGTTCGCATCTCTAATTATTCACTATTTGGGATATTCGAATTTCGACACAATGCTGTACACTTCACCGTCAGGTGCGATTCAGATCATTTTCGTATGGGTTGGGATCATTTTCTGCTGGCTCTGGCCAAACCGCCGGTGCGCCATCGTGATCGGACTCTGCATTGTACCCCTCACTGGGATTGTCCTCCTCTTTGCCCTCCCGTTGTCAGCGGGCTGGGGTATGATTGTTGCGTCTTGGCTGGTATGAATCCAAGACCCTAGAACAGCTCCTGGTTCCTAAGTACGAATCCAAAGCTCACAGACCATAGAGGCCTCCGTGATTTCAAATGTCTTCTCAATCCTTCTCAGTCTAAATGCTTCAAACACACGTGGGAACACAAAGAAGGCAATTGTGAACGCTTTATTCTTCGTCGGCTATGCCGTAGGGGCTATTTGCGGACCACTGCTTTGGAACACCGAGTACGCACCCCGCTACCGAAGTGGCCTTGTTTTGGCCCTTGTTAGCTGGCTTGTCTTCATTCCATCCGTGGCAGTTTATTGGCTTTCTTGTATTTATGAAAACAAACGCCGATCTGCAGTCCAGATGGAGGTGAGCGAGCATGTGGCCGAAGTGGCCGGGAGGGATATGACCGATAAGGAGGACAAGCAGTTCCGGTATACCACTTAATGTATTCCGCCTTTCAATCTGCTTCTCAGAACGTTGCATTCACCAATGGAAGCCATGGCTTCATTTATATTCCTGTCGATCATATACACTGTATGAAAATGACAAGTGATCGTCGGAGTTGAGCAAAAATCGATTCTATAATTCATCATCGTGGTCCAGTGTACTGCCTGCGTAAAGTCCATCAAATCCCAGCAGATGTTGGTCGGAAAATGAACAGTCCTCCAGCAATGTCCCAATATCATCGAAAAGCGCTCCACTATACCCTTGGTAATAGGGTTGATCATTTGATGTCTCTTTCCCTGGCTCATCTAGACGTCTTTCCCACGATGTCCTATAATAAGGCTGATGATTATCTACCACGAATTCAGCGCTGTCTCGGTTTTGTGGCTCATTGGGTTGCAGGGTTGTATCAGACAATTGTGTGAGATTGAGATCGCCGTAATCAAAGCCCGGTTCTCCTTGGTGAGACATGGCTGCCAATGCTTTGTTGACGACCGCCTGAAAAATATCCACGTGTTTCAGGGCATTCCTTGCAAAGTCACTGCCACAGGCAATAAAATGTAGGGATTTCATTGCTGTGCTTACTCTAGAATAAGATTTGAGCCTAGGATAGAGAATACTTTCCAGAAGGATAATGATAGTGGCAGAGCTGCAGCAGTGCAAGTCGGTATGGGAGAAACGAGCTAGCTGCCGGCGATTTCTGAGAAGGTCGATCAGGTCAATTATTTGTTCCGCATGTTGGACGCAGGCCTTTGACAGTTCTTGGATCTCTGCACTCGCGATAGTATCGTCTGTCCGGCTCTCTTTGTTGGTCACGTAGTTTCGCACTTTACTGATCAGGGCAGCACGACTGATATAGGTCCAAACCATACAGTAGTGGAGTTGTAGGTGTACATTAAGCCTTAGAGAGACACCATCCAGCCTTGTTAATTCAGCTGGTAGCTCTTCCTTCCAGGAAAGAAGTTGCCTCCGAATTTCTTCTGTGGCATAGCTATCCAGTGCTCTGTGAAAGGAGTTAACAATACAAAGCCGATCTGAAGATCTGGCTATAGCATAATACTATGGACACCTCACCTTGACTGAATTGCCTTGTTGAGTAGCAGAGTTAGTTTTGTATACGCCACCAGTCTCTCGGCACGAAACGAATTAGAGGAGTCTAAATCTGCCCGTCGCCGGGGGAGGGGGCAATCGATATCGTTGCATTGGAGCGTTTCCGGATACCCGAGAGAGATAGCGACACGCCTTTAATAATGAGAACAAATAAAATAAAAAAGGTAATAAAAAGAAGGGGAAAAAATGGAAAGTGAGTGGGCCATCCGTACCGTTCAATGCTATATGTCGTCCAAAAAACACGGTTCCGGATCTCTGACAGTTGTGGGGGTAGATTAGAGCCGGCAGATCTTCGATGTAGACCGAGGCAGATCGCACTGCGCAAGGCAAGGCCGAGATATGTGTAGCATGTATTAGTATTATGGATTGGTAGAGAGTAAAGGGCTGCCAAAAGACAGCTTAGCACCCCTTCCAAGGAGGGACATGTTATTATCCGTGGTATAAGGTGCTGCGCATGCCGAAAAAACCTAGCACCAGGAATACCAGTCTGTTCTATGTTTACTCCTTCCGCATCACTGTCAGGGCGATCTTGATGAAGATGAGCGAACTGACTGCCCATGGAAAAGACAGTGAAGGCCAAACAAATCAATTTGGCGTCGGCAATAGACGTAGCAAAACCGCTCCTATATAGTGCGTGTAGCTGACTACGAAATGTAGCCTCGTCAAAATAGTACCAGTTTGCCTCAGCATAACAGAAGAACGTTGAAATAAGCACCTCAGCTTCTGTTTGTGATGGGAAATCTTTCAAGATCTGGTTCATCATATAGTCCTCATACTCACTATATGATTCGTTTCCAGGGTAGAACAAAGACTATCGAAGAGATAGAGAGCATAATTAGACTCAGGCTTATACACAAGAGATCTTCATCAGGCATACACTATAGTCAGAGAAATCCGGTCTCTCGGTTTGAGCAATTGCCTCAGTCGCTGAATCTAGGAAATCTTTATGTGCTAGCGCCTCATGCCCTCCTGACTAAACTGTTAATATATTGCAATAGGTTTCTATTATAGAACTTACTAAATGTAGCTGCATTAGAGGCTGGTAGTGTAGTCGTAGATTCAGGTGCTAGCTTCTCCTCTGAGGTAGCGCCGACATAACCGAGCTCCCTTGTAGACTGATTTACAGCAGATGCTGTGTTAGAATTCATGAAAATTTTCATTAAATGAGCTGACTGATCTGCCGTAAGACCAATCTCAGGATAGAATCTGTTGAACTCTGCTGCAGCATCTTTGTGATCGATTGTATCCTCATCGAAATGACTGGAGATATTAGGTAAGATCACTCTTCAGCAAAAGATACTCAACAAAGCGTTTATACCTATATGGTAGAGCAGTCGCTTCTACCTCCTCTGATTCAAAGACACAGCTCGAGTTGGTCTTGTTGCAATTTTGGCACTTATCAGGCGAGACGAGCACACATCGTCGCTTACGTAGGCGACAGGCGGTGCAAGCTTTAATGATACGTTTGCGCTGTTCCAGTGGTACTTTAGGATGAAACCGTCTGGATGAGGCTCTTTTTAGTTGGTCGGACATAGTTGAGGTGGATAGCAATGGACTACTACCTGCTGTCAAGATGTCTCCATCGCCTTGACATTTGTCACTACAAGGTCGGCACTTCCGAGGTATCATGTGACCTCACCCCAGCTTTCCCATTAATAACCATGGTTGAACTCAATGTCAGTCATTGATTACTATCGCTAGTCTTCTTCAGGGCCCAAGCCCAACCCCTAGGCCCACAGGCCCATTATGGGCCCCTATACTAAGCCCAAGGCCCATCGTGGCCCCTAGACTCGGGCCCAGAGCCCAACCCACCGTGGGCTTGGGCCGGGGTTGGGCCGTGAAGAAGCATAGTTGCCAGTCAAGTACGACGACGCTGCAGTGACAAAGCAACCACATATTATGGATGTCTATAAATACCTAGTCCTCCACGCCCTTGTTCCCCTCTGTTTCAACCATCATGATGACATCGTCAAATATCTTCTGACAATACTGGAAGGTGGTTTCTTCTGTCATGGGGAGTTGTGAATCGTGCCTTCGCCCACCAAAGAAAAGTTCACATGGGAACACAGAGGAGCCGTGTTCTCTATGCGATTCTATAGTCGGTAATGGACCTAACCTGGCTGGAACTGAGCCTACCAGGTCCCTCTTCCATGACCAGTGTACATGGTGCTCGTTAGAACTGGACTCTATGACAAGACTATGTGAATTTTGTGAATATATGAGACTTGGCCATCTTGTTCAAACACATGAGAATAAATGCAGGACCCGATCGGATGATACATTACCTGAAAATATTCGCTGTCTGGATCGCTTATGTACATTCTCGATTGGGCTAGCGCGCGACTTGGTCGAGCGCAGCAAAAAGTGTGATTTGTGTCACAGTTTTGTACAGGTACTAGGGTAAAGAATCCAACATCACACATTGACTAGGGTAAGAATGACCTTGCGCACGTGGGAGAGGTTCTTTGATCTGCAGCTAGTTTCTGAGGACGGTGAGTATGGAGGAGAATTGAAAGTGGAAGCTTCCTTGAGGGCTAACAGGTTAAAGGTGAGGATGATACTTTAAATGCTCCGATATCTTACAGGTACCTTGGGTCCATACGACAGCCATCCACTCGCCTTTTGAATATGACGCAACGACCTAGGCCAATGGTGAACTGGGAACACGTCTCTAGCTGGCTGCGAGGCTGCGACCTGCACCGCGAGTGCTCTAGCCAGCGACAACTGTGCACCCAACCGACTGGCCTCCGAGTTATAGATGTTGAGCGAGGGTGTATTGTGGACGCCCCACCGGATTGTTTTTATGCTGCATTGAGTTATGTCTGGGGTGTCAGAACAGGCAGCGAGCAGTTCGAAGCGACCGCTGCAAACTTGAGTGAGCTGGAGCAGGAAGGGTACTTATTGAAACAGGGCCTGCCAGCCACACTGTATGATGCGATAGTTGCATGCAGGAAACTCCACATCCCGTATTTATGGATTGACCGACTCTGCATCCTTCAAGGCAAAGAATCATCGCACGAAGCCGAGATCCAAATCAATGCCTTGGGCGATATTTATCGCCGTTCAGTAGTCACCTTGGTGGCGATGGCTGGTGAAGATGCCTGTTATGGTTTACCTGGAGTGTCGTCCAAACAGAGAGATACAGCCATTTCAGTCTGTACGCAGGGGATATTCATGATACAAATGCACCCGGACTATGCCCTGAATCTTCGCAATTCCAAATGGTCGACTCGTAGTTGGACATTTCAGGAGGCGGTTCTCTCCTCACGACTGATACTTTTCTCTGACTCTAATGTGTTTTTTGAATGTCTTCATGGGGAGGGTGTCAATGTCGAGGATTCAACGATACAAAGCGGACAGGCGCTAGATTGGGAGGTTATGAACCTATCTCAGTCTTCCTTACCCTCCCAGTCTGTCATCGAGGCTGGTGTATATCATTTCAATTCTTATTCCCTCACGCATTCTTACCGCATACTCGTGATGGACTTTACGACAAGAAAGCTATTCTACGTGCCTTTGTAGGAATCCTCAATTCTAAATATGGATCTGACCACTACTTTGGACTACCATTCTGCGAGCTCGACCGTGCTATGTTATGGTGGCCGAGGAATGGAAAATATCCGCCAAGAATCCCGAGAGAGGGCGAAGTCCTGCCGTCATGGTCCTAGGTCTCAATAAAGAGCCCAATCGATGTTTTATGGACTAGCTCCCCGGGCAGTAAAGAATCTAGTGACACGGATACTTTCTTCAGTACAAATACTTGTACTCCCCTTGCAGTGTGGGCCGTAGCGACTGACTGCCTGGGGACCTGTCGTTTGCGTATTATTGCACCACAATCAAGCACAGAAAACAGATCTCTACCATCAAAAAAGAATCACCTTGGGTATGAAAGGCATACGAGTTGGAGTGCACTTGCAGTGGTACTAGCCTAGAAAAAGGAGTGCTTTCCAGGGCCAATCCCTCCTTCACTACAGGACGATCTCACATGCTCGCATTATCATCACATTATTCGTTCAACCTGGCCATCGCTCAACGTTCTATGCAACGAAGCCCATCGCTTGAATGAAACGACTCCAAACTTGAACCACAAGTTTAAGCAGTTCTATATTGAACGTGCCTGCCATCCAGGGAGAATTCTCGTTCACAGCCAGTTTCTTCGGCTTGGAATGACTGCCCGTGCTACAAGCCGAAAGGAACGCTCTCCCTGGCTGGCGCAAGTTTGTCTACAATGGCATGTGGAAGCGGACTCTGGCGCGCTTCACGGTGCAGATGTGGCAACAGAACAGCGGTGCCAACGTGATGGCCTACATAAGTTGACTGCTGCCGCCCATAAACAAGCTACACAGCGAGCTAACCAACGCAGTATGTCGTGTACATCTTCATGATGGCGAACCTAACCGGCAACATCAACCTCATCTCCTCGGGCATCCAATATGCGCTCTTCATCGTCTTCACGACGATCATGTTCTTCTTCATTAATAAAACGGGCCGCCATCCTCTTCTGATCTACGGGGCGCTGGACATGGGCTACTGCCATTTTGTCGTGGGCGGCATCCTCTCGTCGGGCGAGTATGTCCCCGGAGGCGTGGGCGGAAACGAAAACGTCCTGATTCGCGTCACTGGATCCCCCTCCCACGCCATCATCGCCTTTTCGTATATGTTGATCATCATCTACGCGGTCACTCTGGCCCCCGTCTGCTGGGTCTACGCGGCCGAGGTCTGGTCGCTCGAGACCCGCGCCACCGGCATGGGTATCACGGCCATCGGCAACTGGCTCTTCAACTTCGCCCTGGGCCTCTACATCCCTCCCAGATTCCAGAATATCATTTGGAAGATGTTCATCGTCTTCGGCGTCATGTGTATACTGGCCGCGATCCAGTTCTATTTCACCTACCCCGAGGCATGCGGCAACACCCTTGAGGAAATCGAAGAGATGTTTTCCCCCAGCGGCCCCAAGCCCTGGCAGACCCAGCCCGGTAACTCCAAGCTGGATGCGCTCGTTGACGATGTCCGCGCGAATCACAAGCATATTAACATGGGGGCAACGGAGAGCAAGGCCGGTGCAGGGAGGTTGTACAGGTCGCTTAAGCGTTTCCCTTTGTGATGGCTTTAGGGAAACATCGTGTTTTATACGGTGGAGTAAGGGAGCTGTCCCGGGCCAAATATCCATTTTCAGTAGCTGTTCTCAGCATCGTACCTTAAATTCGAACGTCAAGGAATGGCAAAGTATGTATGTTGTGCAGAATATTCGTTGAAACTTTGCCCTTCGAGTAGGATATATAATCATGATCTACTCTCTTATTCAAACAAACCAGTATATTATTACATAAAACAAAGTTACTCAGCAGGACAGACTTCGTCAAGGATAGCATGACATAAGACTTTAGTGGGTCGATAGTTGTCCTATACCGACTAACTGTAGTTCGAGTCCTTTGTAAACCAGAGAACTGAAACACACTGTAGAGCTGAATGTTGGCCTCCTGCAACCCTGCTCATCGCTGGATGATACAAGACGAACTTGCTAATGAATCTCCCCTGAAATCCAATTTTGGATAGATGTGTACACCGTCTAAAGCAATATAGGGCTCTATACTCGGGACATTCCGTAGGATAATACTACCGACCATCTATATGACACGCAAGTTTCTAGTCACGAAGCACGTAAAAGGCTACTTTAGCGCGTGCATTGTCTTTGGTAGAAAAGACAGGTTTTATTAAACCGAAATAACTCTATAAAATGGCAAGGTTTTGTACAGCAGTGGTCCAGTTTCGCGAACACTTAGTTTGCCTTTGTTTACACAAGGCAGTGCGTTATGAAGGAGTATGTCTACTCTGTCTGTATATACTATGCCGTTCTCATACGGGGAGCCGAGGAAGAGAGCACAAGACAATGTGTCAATCTATCCTATATAAGTATTTGCGATTAGAAAGCAGGTATACTGCAGTGAAATACAACCTGGTCAGCCACAACTGCATAATAATGCCCCATGAGGCGTACATCAAACTTTGGTGAGTTGAGGAATATGAAGTATAGTTAGCCGATACATGGAGCTTGATTTGTGTATGCTGAAGTGGATCTTTGCGCCTTTGTTAATGTCACTCAGGCAGTTCCTATACATTGTAGCTAGCTTAATACGCAACCGGAAGCCTGCCAGCAACGAAATAGGCGAGACAACAGTCTTGACCTTGGAACTCTGCCCACGCACAAACTTCATAAACCTTAACACCGACGTGGCATGCCGGATCTTGGAAATAGTTGTAGTAAATAATCTGTTGAGCCCCCTCAAAAATATCGTCCGCGTACGCCCTCATTTCCCCCGTTCCCTAACTTGAACTTTCCCCGCCGTCTCAAACACATCAGTAACAGGGTTAGGTATGTGGAATGCGGATAAAACTAGGGGTAATTTCTTATGCTGGATAGGCAAGCGGTACATGTCAGATCCATCGCAGATCTGACCTATGGATGTGCTGTACCTACATGGTCCCGCTCGCCTCGTCACATTTTATCAATATCCACAGAGGACCTACGCATAGCAAAACCCTAAACTTAGGACGCACTCGCCCGGCAAGTACGGCAGCCTGTCCTGGCTTTCAGTCACTTTTGCACTGTGTGTGTCGTTTGTGTAGTCATGTAGATCGGCCCTTATCATTATTTCGCTCAGTAGAGACGCAAACTAAGGTTTTCTCAAATCATAAATCGGGTCGTATCGCCAGCAGCAAAGTAGTCGATATAATGACAGGTAGCACCAGATCGTGCTGACGGAGATGTTCGGCTTACTAACGAGTTCGTCTCTTTGCATCAGTAGATGAGTAAAAGACACCGTCTCCTCCCACTCCGCAACAACGGCTCTCCTCATTTAGTCTATTCACTGTCTAGTAATATGCTTTATCGATATCTCTCTGAATTTAAAATATTATATGAAAGGGGCTTGGATAAAGTCATTTGTTTCTCTTACAGCTGACCTCCCTGTATTCGTAGTTTGCACAATTGCGTACAGGTCCGTTACCTGCCGATGCATCAAATTCGAGCAGTCAACTTGACGGATCCTTTGCATTGATAGGATGCTTGATACTGGAAATGGTCTGTGTCGTGTATGTAAAATACATCAACTAGAGTTGATTGGAGATTGGGGTAAACCCACGGCTAACCCGCCTCAAACCTCTTGAAAAACCTGCCCTAATCACAACTCTCGGTCTAATAGTACTTCAAACAGTACCGTGGCCATTGCAAGTAAACTTTACAGTCAAGCCACGCAGGTCCCGATTCTTTTCATCCACGTCCAGTGTTTTTCCGGCGCGCTCATGATCCGGACAACATCGTGGATATTACTCTCAGCGTCCCTCTTCCTCCAAATAGCACAACCATGGGTGAAGGCGCGGAACGCATATTCCAGCGCGCCGTCCTTGTGACCCACCGCATTAAACTCGTACGCCGCCAGCCTGTAGGCTGTCGCAATGGCATCGTGAGTAAGCTCGCTTCGCACTAGCTCAATCAAGGCCTCCGCCATCTCCGTGGTTGCGGCAGAGTATTCGGACCAATCATCGAGGGCGCGTTTGTAGGTGAGGATGGACTGGATGTTGCGATCGGACCTGACTCTGTCCTCCGGTGCCAAGCTGCAGAGCTGGCATGTACACTCGAACCCCCAGTTTGCAAGATCATTTTGACGTTGAGTATATGGAACCAGTGTGTCAATATCTGATGTGTTGCAAGAAATCAATCAGGACGTGTACTTGGTTAGCAGTGTCTTGATGGACATCTCTTTGCGATATTAAGGCTGGGTCTGTCGGATTACTCACAGGAAATGGTTATCTCCTCCCCGGGGGGAATATCATCGATTGCATAAATAGTTTGGACCAGAGTTTCGGGATCGAATTGATAGGCAGCACTGACATGCAAGTTTAGGAGAAGGGCGCAGCTTTGGGAAGGGGAGGGGGTTTACTTTGGGCGACAAGCATGGTTCAATCGCTAAAAGAATAATAGTTCAGCGATGATGAGTCAGATAATTATACAGGGGCCAGGAAAGGCTAAAACCTTACAGATATTTGAAGAAAAACAGCTCGATGATCCGCAGAGTCTGGGATGGTGACACCGAAACTATTCGTGTTCAAGATCTCATCCAGGATATCGCCGTCACCGTATGCCAGTAAGTTCAATAGCCGAGTCGAAATCTCCCGGGGAAGTTGACGCACAGCCTCCCACTGCAGCCGTAGTCGATTCTCCTCATCGGTTTCGTCTATTCCCTCATGGACTACCATGGCTGGTTTCTCAGAGATAATAGCATCACCCGCACGGATGTCTTTGCTAGCGACCAGGCCTGTGCGTTTCCCGGGGATTTGGACTTCGATGAATGGAGAGGATAGCGGTGTGGCGCCTGTACTTCCCCGGGACGGTTCATGAGATATATCAAATGCCTTGGCAACAGAATCTGTTGTTATGAAGGCTGTGACATGGTCATCTTCAAGAGTTCGACTTAGATGGACAAACAGGTCTGAGGCGGACTCTGTATGGCCAATGCTGCTCAACTGAGGTATGTCTTGACTGTCCTCGGACAACGGAGCAAATCGTTTCCTCATTACATTGTACCATACTGGTGTGATGCCCTCTGAAAGGCACAAGCCTCCAATATGACTTAGCGCTGTAGGGATGATTGAAAGATTGGTGGTGGTCATTGCAGGTGTAATATGGGGAAACCAAAGAGTCTTGCAAGACAAAACAGCCAATGCCTTTAAGACGCTAGGGAACAATGGGATAGAAAGCGGACAGATATTCTCCTATTTTTAAAGGCTCTCGGGGGTGTACAGGTACTTTGTAATCTCACTATTGAAGATAGACATCTACAGCTATTGTTATTAATCTCATAGCCATGGTGTCCACACCGTGGTCTGCGGATTGCAACTTCTTGAGATCTACGCCACCAGTCAACATGTCAGGAGTCACTGTCTGAAATACATTACTAAACTACTTGAGTCAAACTGTCTTACCTGATTATATAAAGAATTAATACATAATATGTTTGCTGAAACTAGTCCTTTTGTAGTACAACTAGAACCCCGCATATTATATTGTAGCTTTATTGCGCCCCAGAACTCAGAACGTTGCCAAATCCAGGCGAGGGAGTGTACCAGTCACGGCCAAGGAATTCCAACGGGTCGCGATGGTACGAACGTACTCCGTACCGTGCATTGGGTACCTATCTACGACATCAGACGTGTCTTGATTGTACATGTCATAGCTTACTTCAACTGAAAATGCAGTACACCGATCACTCGTCTAAACAGCGATCTTAGAACACGTCATTCGCACCATATTTAACCTTTCACGAAGCAATAAGTATGCAATAGACATGCAATAGATATGTAATAGTTACGCACCAATCACTAACGATCCTCAAATAGAGCAATAGTCGTATCAACATGCTCCAAGGTCCAGTTCAGGTGATATAAAGGTCCTATCGCAGCACATCTAGATGGCTTGAATGCTGTCAACATCACTGCTCACTTGTTACTTTGTTTCAAATAGCACATATCCTTTTTCTGTTTACCCCTTATCCGAACTCACCCTAGGACAAAAGCCGATTATCCAAAATGCAGTTCCTTCCGCTCCTGACTTTGTTTTTGGCGTTTGCGATGGCATTCCCGGAGAAGGAGGCTGTGGAGCCAAACAGAATACTGGTATGAAGGGTCTTTTCATCCAAATGGCAGGCACCTGTAGTGCTTTGACCTCCTAGATCAGAGAGATTGCTGTATGATAGATATGGAGAGCTAATGACAAACTTCATAACAGGGTGTAAGTGATAACTCTCTGGCTTGCCGCACCGATACATTCCTAACGGTCTAATGGCACGTGGCAGAGCGTGAGTGGTGACATATCCCCCAACCTGGGATGACAATCTAGGCAGAGGGTTGACTATCATAATTATTGGTAGAGAGAGAATGTTTGTATCCTGACCTGAAACAGATTGCTGAGTATAGTGCTAACAATAATATGAATATATAGCTAGTGAGTATTGATAGTATTTGAGAAGCCTATGACTGAGGACATAGAGCTGATTACTATGGATACTATTAGAAGGTGAGTGATATCTGAGAAATTGGTGATTCAAGGATTTAAAGACACTAATAACAATGAATAGCTTGTGAGTGCTGGTATTTTCTGATTAATAGTGATCACTTCAAAGCTGACATGGTTAATAGAAAGTAAGCGGCGACCAATCTGGAGAGGAAGACGGACTGGGCTAATGACTCATGAATTTAAACTTATATAGAAGGTACGCCATGAGTAGCTATTATCAAAAAGGTTGGCTGAGCTAACAAGAATCAAAAATTA